CTAAATTTGTTTGTTCCTTTTGCTTTGCGCCTGTCATTTTTTAATGTTTCTATTTCATCTGCTATTTTATCTCCTTCCAAAAATAAAGCACATTTTTTACAACCAGCAAACTTAGCAATGTTTAAACAAATATAGTCGGGAAACATTTTGATTGTATCCTCCAAGGTTTTAGCATTAAACCTACATATATAGCAGTTTTCAACCTCTTCTGGTAATTCATATTCTGACCTCTCAACCTCTGACCCCATAATCTCTTAATATATAAGGCGTTTTGTCTTTAAGTGATTTTTTGGGGCAGGGTTTCGCGTCGGGGGACTCGGGCACTGCGTTGGCATTTAATGTATCGTTAAAGGTGTTTTGAGCCGAAAATGTTTCACTCCTCTCATCTGTCTGTCTTTAAGGTTTAGGGTAATTAGGGTTTAGGGGTTTAGGGTGAACAATCCAGCACTTTGGAACTTCTGCGTCTTCCCTGATAGGAAGTGCCGACATCGTTAGGGTTTTAAGGTTTAGGGTTTAGGGTTTAGGGTAAGCAATCCAGCACTTTGGAACTTCTGCGTCTTCCCTGATAGGAAGTGCCGACATCGTTAGGGTTTTAAGGTTTAGGGTTTAGGGTTTAGGGTGAGCAATCCGACGCTGTGCGACTTCTGCATCTTCCTTGATAGGAAGTGCCGACATCCGAAGGTTTGAGGGTTTTTATATGTTTTTTTTTGGATTTTGGGGGTATAACTATTTTCGGTTGATTTTTGTGCATATTTTTTATGATGATTTTTTACTTATGGGTTTTAGGGTTTAGGATGTAGGGTTTAAGGTTTAGGGTATATTTGTATAGGGTTTTTATAGGTCTAAAGCCCTAAATCCCACCCTAAGCGTAAAACACTAAACCCTAAAAGGGGTGAACCTCTTGGAAGTCATCGTCGTCAAAGTCGTTGGTGTCCGTGAGCACCTGGCGAAAAGGTAAGTCGCGTTTTTTAGGGTATTTAGGGTTTAGGGTTTAAGGGTTGAGAAGCAGTGCCGAAACTGTGACACAAATCTGCTGGCACATCGCACTGCAATGCATTTGTCCACCCCGTCGGACTTTGCACTTTAGTATGTCTGGCGCCACCAGACCTGTTTAATGGCTTTCCCCAGTGTTGTTTGCAACTGTATTTGCAAACAGACTTCAGTGTTGTTTGCAACTGTATTTGCAAACAGACTTCAGTCCCGAGTTTCGGGAGTCCCAGTCCCGAGTTTCGGGAGTGCCAGTCCCGAGTTTCGGGAGTAATAAACCCTATTTTCGGGAGTAATAAACCCTATTTTCGGGAGTAATAAACCCTATTTTCGGGAGTAATAAACCCTATTTTCGGGAGTAATAAACCCTATTTTCGGGAGTAATAAACCCTATTTTCGGGAAAGGCACACCCTACTATTTATCAACTGGCGCCGGCAAAACTTGTGAAGGAGACAGCAAAATCTCACATCATACAGCAACCCGCTTGTTGCTCAGCAGGTGAAGCATTAGACGAATTATCGGACGACTGCCTCAAACCACGCCGATACAGCACCAAGCCATCAACCTGCTTCTTCATTGTGTCCGTATCAAAGATAAGAGAACTTGCCTTTTCTTTGTTGAATTCCTGAGAGAATGCTTGAATGAACAACAGGATGATTTTGTTCTTGGTGTGATTGATGTGGGATAAGGCAACCTCCAACTCGCCGATTTCCTTGAACATAACCCCAGCGATTGTCGCCAAGCGCTCCTCCGTGTAGGAAAACTTTGTTTTCGGGTCAAGTGCTTCGGCGACTTGTTGTAGTTGAGCATCGCTTAGATAGTTCAAGCAATCTTGAAGAAGTGGTTCTCCTCGTTCCACCTTGATGGTGTTCTCGCACAACTTGCCTCGGACGGGTTCAAGGAAACGTTGTAAAGACACTGGCACTTCATCGCTGGTGGGCTCGTTGTCGTCCAGCACCCTTTCCAGAGTGGTTTTCTTTGCCCTTGCTACAAGGTCTTTGACCCTGTCAGTTTTCTTGAAGGTCGTCAAGACACGCTTTCCCATCGCAAAGAGGACGTTTGGATGCTACAAGGACACAACTACAAAAAGTTTGGCGCAAAAGTCTTTTACGAAGAACAAGGTTTATGCTCAACGCTTGGGATTTTGCAATCGCAAGTCTGATGCAATTGTTTTGTCGAACCTTGTTGCATCAAGCAGTTCGCCACACATATCAAGGAGGCACGCCTATCATCAGGACAAGTGAATGCCTTACCCACTCACTACCCGTTCATAGGACAGCAAAAGAGGAGCAACTGCAAGATTGCTCACTGGTCTTCGTCATCGGTGTCGTCGCCCTCGTCATCATCCTGCGGTGGGTTGTTCAGGGCAATGCTGGCACTCAAGCGACAGCCGTTCTGCACATACTTCTTAAAGAGCGTGGCACGCGGTGTCTCGCTCAGCACCGTGCCGTTCATGTCAAGCGTCATCTTTGTCGCCATCTTCTTTGCCAAGGGGTTGCTTACCTTCTCGTTGTAGGCAATGATGATGGCACGGCGAAGGTCTCCGACGGTCATACTCTTCGGCACATCCAACTTCACCTCAACGCCGTTCAGCACCACGACAATCTGGATGATGGATGCTTTGTCGGTCTCACGGGCTTTCTTGTCATCAATCTTCTTCTTTGCGAGGCGCTCCTTTGCGGTGACCTTCTTGTTCTCACGGTCGCGCAGGGTCAACTCCTTCTTTGTGGCACGGGTCTTCTCGACAATCTGCTCCTGCATCTCCAACAACTTCGGAAGCACACTCTGCAAAGTGTCGGTGGAAGAGGCGGGTACATCGCCCAAGAAGTCTTCAAGACTCAACCCCAGCATCAACTCAACAAGGTCTTCCTCGTCGTCACTTGGAGTCTCAACGTGGTCAAGGAACTGCTCCTCGGCATTCTTCTTGCCATCGTTCTGCTTCGGTGCCATTTCTTCTACGGAAACGACAAAGGCAAGTGTATCAATGCTTCAAGCAAAAGAAACTTCAACATGCATGAGTTGTGCTTCAATGTCTCAACGCTTTCACTCAGTCTCAACATCAAGCGAGGCGGGTGCATGTATTTTATCTCACTCATTACTGCCAAAAGTCGTGTCCATACATGTAAGCAAGCACCGCATGGTCAAATTCATCTTTCGATGATGGGCAGTCATCACTTCGAACAACTTCGAGGGAATACTGCTTCCACGCGTTCTCTTCCTCTGTTAGGTTGTAGTCTTCAAGCAACAGACCATCATCACGGGAGTCGGGTAGATTTCCAAGGAACGTCTCTTCAATGTCTTTGGATATGAGGTTTGCAAGGTCATTCTCGGAGCAAAAGAAACCAGAAGAAAAGACTATGTCAATGACCTCGCTCTGCTTTCTCAACACTGATGCTGACTGCTTGTCTTTGATGAACCACTCGTAGAGTCGCACATAGACATCGCCATTTTCTACTTCTGTCATCTTGATGTGAAAGCGCTGCAAAATGCAACAATGCTTTTCAGTCTCATTTGCTGATTGTTTTCGCGAATGAAGAACAAGAAGTAAGCGAGCAAGGTTCACCTGGTAGCAGGCGATGCCGACGTTGTCGGTTGATGTCATCCTGACCTAAACCCTATAGGGGATTCTGAGAAACCGGCACATTATTTATCAATGAAATGAAATTTTGTATGAGGTGAGATGAAAGATGAAATGAAAGATGAACGATATATTATTGGTTTGCCCGCCCTGCGGTTTTTATGAATGACTAAAAAAAGGACTTAAAGATAAAACGCCTTAGTATAATAAGAGGACTATGTGTGATAGGATTAAGGAATATGAAGAGAAGATTACCAAGTATGAAGCAGAACTGAAAGACATTAATGAGGACATTGAATATTACAACAACAAGATACAAAGATATAATAAACAATTAACCGTTTTAGAAGAGGAAGGCAATGCCGAAGCAATAATGAGCAAGGTGAATGTTATTTCAATGATTTATTTTGATGTTGCTAAGAAACTAACTCAGAAGAGCACACGAATTAAATGTATTCAAGACTGCAAGAATGCAATTAAAAGTTTAACAATGAACTAAAAAGACAATTAATTAACAATTAACATAATATTAACTTTCTGGGGATTTTGTGATGAATCTTGTTAAAACGAATAAGGTAGTAGTCCTCAGAAATTTAATATTTTGTTAATTTTTTGTGATTTTGGTGGTGGTAAATTGGATACTCTTTGAAAAAGTGTGAAAAATCTGGGGTAGAACACTTCAAGAAATGGTGAATGAATGAGAGTGCGAAATGATAAAAACGAATGAGGCATTTCGTCCCCAGAAACCCCCTGTATAAACGAATGAGGTGGGATGATAGATGAAACGAATGAGGGGTGAATGTGGTAAATGCAATCCCCAGGAATTGTAAAATGGAAATGAATGAGGGGGTTAAATGATGATGTAGATGTTATGCTGTTGTAAAATGATGTATCAGCACAGGCAGGCAATGTATAATGTGCCAGTCCTCAGAATCACCCTTTTCCTTATTTTTTTCCCCCAACCCCCCCCCGCTTCTTTTAAGCCGTACCAAGCGTGCTTCAAAGCCCAAGAAACGAAGGAAATGAGGGTTTTCCCCCTAGGAAAAACCAAAAAACCTAAGGGAAATTACAGGAAATCCGTCCAAAATGTAAAAAAATAGGTTTTTCCCTATGAAAAACCAACGATAACCTAAGGGAAATGACAGAAAATCCGTCCAAAATGTAAGGAAAGTAGGGTTTTTCCTAGAGAAAACCAAGAAAATCGACCCCCCCCCCCCCCCCCAAAAAAAAAAAAAGGCCCCCCAAAAAAAAAATGCCCAAAAAAAAACTCCACCCGTTTAATCAAAACCCCAGCTACTGATTCATAAAACGCTGAAAGCGTAAATGAGAACCAACCCGAAAACCAGGTATAAAAAAGGCACCCCAAACAACCCAACAACGAACCCTGAAGAAACCCAACCCCTGGTGTGCCAAGAATGCCCCGCGGCAAACCAGGCTCCTGGACCTGGCAGCGGCGCGCTGCGGGCGCCGAGAAGTCGGAGTACCGCGAGCAGCAACCGTGAGGGGGCGGGGGGGAGGGGCTTAGGGGTTTCGGGGATTTAGGTGCAGACTTAGTGTTAGGAGGGCTTTAGGGTTTTTAGGGTTTTGGCGGGGCTTAGGAAGTGAGGGTTTTGGGAGCTTGAGGGGTGTTGGGTTCAGGTTCAATTTTTCGATTGGAAGGGGTCGAGGAGTGAAGGGTTTAGGGGTGCTAAGCAGGTAACTTCGTTTGGCAAGCTGCAACATCCTGGCTTTGGGCCTTACGTATGGACATAGCCGTCGGCCAAGGCTGACCCTAGGATGCTAAGTTTGGCCAGCGATGCAAGGGGCTGCAGGGGCTTTGTTCCGAAGCTCCAGCACGTCGGAAGACCTTTGAGCTTCGGGCGTCAAGAAGCATCTGCGGCTCGATCCTGGCTGGCTGTCGTTGCAGCTGGCGTGGTCAGTTTCAGGAGTTTTTCGGCCAAGCTCACCCGTAGATGCAGACCTGCTGTGTCGGATGGCCGCATTGAGACGGACTTGCAGCGCGACGGCCGCGATGGGAAGGTCCTCCGCTCCTCAGCTGCGCAAGTGACCCGGAGGAAGAAGCAGAGCAAAGGAGAGGTCAAGACGGCTGCGCTCCAGAGGTTGAGGGACCACGCGGCCAGCAATGACGGGAAATGCATTTCAGAGGCGTACACGAACAACAGGACCAGAGTCCAGTGGGAGTGCAAATTGGGGCACAGGTGGATGGCCCAACCGCGCAATGTGTTGCATCGCAGAAGCTGGTGTCCTCACTGCGCCGTCAACAAGAGGAGCCTCAGCTTGCACCAGCTCCAAGAGCACGCCAGGAAAAGAGGTGGCAGGTGTTTGTCCCAGGAGTACCAGAACAGTCATACCAAGGTTCGCTGGCAGTGCAAGCTGGGCCACACCTGGGAGGCCACATCGGACAATTTACTGAACCAAGGGACCTGGTGCCCCGAGTGCGCTCGCACAAGAAAATCATGGTCCAAGCGAACCATGAGGGACTTGCAGGAGCATGCCGCCGCCCGCGGTGGCAAATGCCTGGCTACTGAATATGTTGGCATGAAGGCGAAAGTTCTGTGGCAGTGCGAGAAAGGCCACACTTGGAGTGCGAGCGCAAACAACGTGTTGAACCACAAGACCTGGTGCCCGGTATGCGCAAAGTGTGCCCCACTGGGCTTGGAGCGACTGCGGAGCCACGCGGCCCGCCTTGGTGGACAGTGCCTGGCCGAGGACTACAACAACGCCCGCATCAAGGTGCGATGGAAGTGCAGCTCTGGCCATGTATGGCGAGCAATGCCAACGAAAGTCATCAACAGTGGCACCTGGTGCCCCGAGTGCCAGAAGATCGGCCTCTCACGTCTTCAGGCACACGCCACGTCGTTGGGCGGGAGGTGCCTGTCCAAGAAGTACAGCAACAGAACTGCGACGGTTCTTTGGGAATGCCAGCTTGGCCACAGGTGGAAAGCCAGCGCCACTAGCATCCTTCATCAGAAGACCTGGTGCCCCAAATGTGCGGCCAGCACTTGGAAGACGGAAGCCGAGATCCGGAGCATTCTGGAAGCCATCTTCGCTCCTTCAATGTTTGAGTCGTCCTATCCTAAGTTTCTCGAAGGGTTGCAGTTGGACGGCTACTGCTCCGAGCTGTCCTTGGCTTTCGAGTACCAGGGGGAGCAGCACTTCGATCCTGACAACTATTTCCATTTCGGAGACCCTGCAAGCTTTCACAGTCAGCTGGAGAGGGATGACAGGAAGCGCCAGCTTTGCAAACAGGCCGGCGTGCGGCTGGTGCTGGTGCCGTGTTTTGCCAACGACAAGCGCCTTTTTGTGCTCACTGCTCTTCTTCGGTGGTTCTCCATCGCTCAGATCACGGCCCCGATGTTATCGCAAGCTAGCAGCTGATTGGTGCTCGCCTTCGCATCGCGTGGAGGTTAGGCGACAGCTACACACAGAGAGACGCAGAGGGAGGCCATGTCAGTGGTTCATCTTGGCAGGGCCACTAACTTGCAAGCAATTCGAAGCAAGAATTTGCAGTGTCATTTGACTGCTGCAGACTTGCGCAGGTGGGCGCAAGTCCATCTAAAAACTCAACTTTCCATCCGACCATCCGTCCCTGTCTTCGGGCTTAGTAAGTAGGGTTTGGTGGAGTGCCGGTAGAGAGGTTACCAGGATTGAGGATATGTCTTGGAGACCCTAAATTAAAGGCCACCATGTCCACGCAAGAAGGCCCTGGCGCGACGTGGGGCGAGGCCTTCGCTATCGGCCTGCCAGCGCGGATGTGGGGACCCTTTCCAGAAATGCGAGTTGCTCTGTGCTTTTTGAGCTCACCTCAAAGTTCGTGCTTGCTTATTGCCAGTGGGAGAGTGCCGGACGCCCTCACTTCGAAGCATGGTTCTAGATGAAGGGCCTCCCCTGGTATAGCACCTCAATAAAGAAACACTGAGGTCCTCACAAAGGGAATGCTAAGCCACCTGTGGCACCGCAGACCCTTTTCGAGGTTCATGGGTCTTAAATTCTTGGCCAGAGGTTCCTCCCGCCTTCCCGAATCTGACTACACAGGTACTTCCTGCGCGTGCAGTGCCATCCTCCTCGGCCTGGAAAAGCCGTTCCGAGCCAGACCAGTGCCCCGTCCGGAAGACCCGAAGTCACCCTTCAAAAACGTCGACTGCAAGAGAGCTGCCAAGGCAAGCAGCCGGTGACAGCTCCTCCCGCAGACAGCTTCCGCTGGGATCTTCGGCGGCCAAACTCCCAAACGTCCGTGAACTGCGGTTTAGGGCTTGGGGTTTAGGGTTTAGGGTTTAGGGTTTAGGGTTTAGGGTTTAGGGTTTAGGGTTTAGGGTTTAGGGTTTAGGGTTTAGGGTTTAGGGTTTAGGGTTCTCTTTACGCCCCTATAAAACTCAGCCAGGAAGGCCAGGCTTGGTGGTTAGCAGGGGCTCAGGATGGCAGCCGTTGAAAGGTTTATTGGGGTTTGTTGAGGGGGGCGCGGGAAGGGTGGGGGGGTGCAAGGTACTTCTTCATTCTCCTAAACCCGAGCCCATACCCCAAGCCCTAGAAGCCCAAATCAAGAGGTTCATTTCCCCAGTGGTGCGCTTATTCCGATTTCTTGGCAGCTTACGTTTCCGCAAAAACCCGTGAATGCAGCAAGGGACCCTTTGTTAGGCTACTGGAGACCATACCCTAAACTCTGAACCCCAGCCTGTATAGTCGTAAGGCATGCCTCGCTGAGCCTTGCGCGAAGCCACGCCTTCGAGTGTCTCTCAGCTGCACCGATTCCCCACTGGATGTTCAAGGGTTTAGGATTTGCGGAGGAGGCGACTCTCGGTGGCCCTACATAAACCCTCGGAATTGCGAGCTTCGTCGCCCATGTACGAGGTTCAAGGAACAGGGCTTCAGTCAGAGCTTCCCCAAACCCCAAGAAGAATCAAGAAGATGCCGAAACCCCCCCCCAACTGAAGATTTTTGGAATATGCCCTTGAGCTAGATTGAGGAATACTCCTTAAGTTACATGAAAGATCCTAAAAATGATGTTCAGGGGAAATTCCTGCATGAAAGGATAATTCGGGAACAGTTGGGAGCTTTTGGTGGCCAAGGGCTTGTGGATGTCAGCCATGGGTCCCTACGCTGGAACCCTTTAAAGGTTCGGGGGCTTAGGGTTTAGGGTTTAGGGTTTAGGGTCCCTAAACCCCAAATCCCTAAAGCCTGAACCCTATTCCAAAGTGCAAAATCTGAGGCTAACCTACAACATCTTGGCAGACAGCTGCGCGACGCGAAAGACGGCGCGCCTGACGATGCTCGGGCTGCAGCCCTTCTGGGGCAATCTGTACGCTCGGTTGAAGCTGGGGGCCACTATTGGGGTATAAGGGCCCCTATAAGAGGGATTCCGAAAAACCCTGTTTGTAGGATCCTTATGTTTATGTGGTTTGTTGGGCCCCTAGAAGCCCTACTTCATCAATTAGCCCAGAAACCTTCAAGTAAGGGGCGCGGGTTGGGGGTGTCCTCCAACGCATGTTGGATACCCTACGCTCTCAAGCCCCAGTACACCTAATGAGTACTAGTGAGCTTTAACGACGACCCTAATTGACCTCGAAACACAACAGTGTCTTCGAACCTCCCATCCCTATGCTCTGTTCAACACATGTATGTCGTCTTATAGTTCCCTTGCTTTTGCATGTTTTTTTTAGGCAGATCAAGATGTCCAAAACACAGCGTATCCGGTGGTTTGTGACGGTCGGTGTCTATCTCCTAAACATGAGACCTAAACCCTAGACATGGTGGGGTCTTCATACTGCGACCCTTAGATACCCCCTCCCTTAAGGACCCTATAACCGCAAACCCTAAACCCGAAACGGTAAACCCAAAACCGTAAACCCTAAACCCTAAACCCCATCCCAGAAGGACCTTATATTCTGAGGACGTTTTCCTACTGCGACCCTGCCATCCTGCTTGCGGGACCCCGGCGGCAGCGAGTGCTCCGCGACCTCCTCCAGCGCCTTCGCTGCAGGAGTTGGAGGCTCACCCTAAAACCCTGAACCCTAAACCCCTAAGTGTTGAAGCCTACTCCTGTACATGTCATCCTGTAGCAGTTGTACCATGCATTTTTCCTTTGTTGCTTATAGGCCCGAACAGTAGCCTTGAGCATGTTTAAGACAAGCATGTACAGATTCACATTAGACATGGTAGGTGCCAAACCCTACATAGCTGCTCTTGTTTCTTCGTTTGTGCGTGTAAAATCTTCGCGTTTGTGAGTGCTTTGCCATGGCTTTGAGGGACGATTCTGGGGAATTGCGCAGTCCACTGGTTTCTTCCTCACAGCCTGCTGGTACTCACCAGCAGGTTATGAGCCCAACGCTTGGGCAGGGCTATGGCACCAATCCACCGCATCCATCTCCACCTCCCGGAGGGGATGGTTTGCAACATCCAGGTTCAATGCCACCACGTGAATCAGGCCAGTCAGGTGCAGTGGGCCTTGAACCTAATACGGCTACGGGAGGGGCATTGGGAGGTACAGGCCAGCATGAATCATCGCGAGGTTCAGGGGAAGTGCCACCAATGTCGACCACCAGTGAGGGTGGTGAGAGCGCACGCCCGGCAACACACCGGGCGGGAGCCCAGGTCTGCAGACCAGCACTGGCATGCCAGGTACCGCGAGTGGTGAAGCAGCGCCAGGTGGAGCAGTCGCTGGGGACTCCCATGTTGAGGGGTTCCTTACCCCACGTTCCCAGCAAGGACAGGGTTTGCCCACTATTGCAGAAATGGTTGAGGGTTTCCCTGGGGCTGGGCTCCAGCTCATGTCAAGGGTTGGGGATTTTTTCAGAGTTGCCCGCACTGAGGTCATGCAAGTCCCGGTGTGGCAGGACTCACACGCAACGCCACCACGAAGTGCTACCCGCTCATTGGGTAGTCCGGGAGGTGCACCAGGGCAATTGGGGCCACAAGGAACGCCAACGTCCTTTGCACCATCGCACCCCGGAAGGGAGGGCCCGCTACTGAACGCTGACATGCTGCAGCGCATGCAGGCTTTAGAACAAAGGGCCCCCCTACTGTACGGTAATGTACCCGAAAGACCTCAATCGCGAACAGATTCATCATCTTTGCCTCAGGAAGCAATTCAAGCCGAGGTTGCTAGGCAGTTGGCAGGGTTTGATCAAAGGGCTCAGGCTCAGGAGTTGAGAAATCAGGCCCAGGACCTTGAGATCCAGCGTTTGAGGAGGCAACTTGAGGAGGAGAAGGCTATGAGGGAGCAGTTGGCGAGGGAGGCGGCAGCTTCAAGCAGTGCCCCGCAGGCCCCACCGCAAATGCAGGTCCCCATACCCCTCCAGGTGCCATCATCGCAAGATGCTCAGGTCCACACTTCCTCTGCGCATCAGGTGCAGGATGTTGCAGCGCCGGCGGCTGGTGCTTTGAGAGCGCCCGCTCAAGCTGCAGCAGCAGCCGCGTCAGGGTTTTGGTCCAACTTCTGGTCAGGATTGCAGGGTTCCCATAGGTTGCCCAGCAGTGCAACCCCGCCCGGAGGGGTCGGGCAGTCCTACGACGCAGCACAGGTGAATTTGGCTTGTTCTGCTCCAAACCCCCCTTCTCAGGCCGAAAACCTGGGTCTGGGCCAGATCTGGCCTCAAGGCTCAGGAATGCCACAGGTGCCTCAGGTGCAAGGTACACAGGTGCCCGCATCTCCACCCGGAGGGGTTGGCACAGGTGCAAGGTACACAGGTGCCCGCATCTCCACCCGGAGGGGTTGGACCCGCTGCCTATGCACAGGTGCCACAGGTGCAAGGTACACAGGTGCCCGCATCTCCGGGGTTGGACCCGCTGCATGTGCACAGGTGCCACAGGTTTCAGGCGTAGGTACACAGGTGCCGCATGCACAGGTATCAGGCCCCCCAAGCCAGTGCAGCTCCAGGAGGAGCATCTGCAGCAAGTGCAGCGCCCTCCTCGGGCAATCCCATGATGGATGCCTTGTTTGCAGGAATGCAGCAGCTTCAAACCATGCAGGCGCAGGGCATGCGGGATAAGAGTGTTGTTAGCAACGCCCCTGAAGCCGTCAAGCCAGGCGCTACTGCACTTCCCATGCTGAAAGCTCCTGATCCGATGAGTGGTTCGTTGGATTTTCAGGATTGGTTGGAGTTAGTTGCAGGGTTGATGGGTGATTTGTCCGATTCCTCGCATGATTGGTGGACCGCAGTGCTGCAGGTGAGCCGTGACGCATATGAAAGGTGGGTTAAGGCTACTCCGTTGGATCGCATAAGGGTTGAGGTTGACGAGCGCCCGGAGCTGGTGGAGGGAAAGTGGTCCAGGGTCAATGCACGTGCGTGCGCCATGATTTTAGCAGCCCTAGATCAAGGGGTAAAAGCGGAAATGGTAGCTCGCAGGACCACTCAAGTAGCCACTCAAATCATGTTTCGGCTTTACACGTTGTATCAGCCTGGAGGTTCCACGGAAAAGGCATTGGTGTTGAATCACCTGCAAAATCCCAATGTTGTTCAGGATGTGGTGTCAGGTGTGTCCGCGCTGAGGGCATGGGGTAGGTGGCACAAGCGCTGCATTGACTGCGGTATGGTAGCCCCAGATCCTACAGTTCTTGCCGGTGCCCTCACCGAAATGACCAACCATATCCTAAGCCAAAACCCGGACCCCATGTTCCGAACTCAGATGGTTCGCAGCATGTTGCACATCGAGACTCACCCTTCGGAAGATGCGGTTCAGGAGTATTACAAGCACTTGTTAGCCGAGTTTGAAACCATGGCTGGAGCACAGATTGCCACACAGGGTGGGTCAGGCAACAATGTCGCTTTAAAGGCCATGGACGCTACGGGGGGTAAGTCGGGGGGCAAGGAGGGTGAAACTAAGGGTGGGGGGAAGGGTAAGCCGTGCAAGTACTTTCTTACGCCTAAGGGGTGCAAGTTCGGTGCGAAATGCAAGGCTCCTCACTCCATGAGCGACCTGCCAGCGGCTGAAAGGTTTAAGAAGTGCCTAAATTGTGGCTCTGAGGACCATCGCGTCAAAGATTGCAAGGCTGGAAAGGCCGAGCCAACGGCACCGGAACAGAAGCCGTCAGTCCAGGCAGCCTCCACCTCCACGTCATCCTCCGCGCCACCCGTTGTCCAGGCCACGCCTGTTCTGTCCATGGATTCCTTCCTTCAGCACACATCCCACGCCTTGAGGCAGCTTGAAGCTGCGCATGCCACTCATGGGCAACAGCCGTCGCAGGGTCCAGTATCCACAGTGCCTGCCCCAGCGGCCCCCACTCCTGACGGAGATGGTGTGCAGCAGCCTTCAAATCCATCCCTCAAGAAGCTCACCATTTGCTCAAGCATGCCAGCTAGTTGCCTTCTAAATGACCCACAAGCAAACCCCCCTTCTCGAGCCGAGATCGAGGGGTTGCCCGGTGCCCAAGCCGTGGAGTCCGAGCCACCTTTCATTGGACATGCCCTTCTAGACTCAGGGGCCACGCACCCTTTACGGCCAGCATCGTCGCAGGAGGAGTGGGTCAAGACAAACAAGGTGCAGGTTGGTTTAGCGGGGGACCACACTGCAATTGTGCCCCTAGGACAGCTTGTCGCGCGGCTGGGGTACATGTTGAGTTGGACAGCTGATGAGTGTTTCTTGCGTTCCCCTGAGGGTGAGCTCACCACGTTGATGGTTCAGAACGGTTGCCCTGCGACTGAGCATGATAGGGCGTTGACGCTAATCGCTGAGTTGGAGGCTCAGCGTGAAAACGCATGCAGCACGTTTGCAAACCGCGCTGCAAACGAGGTCTCTTCAACCCTCGTCATAGCCAAAGCACTTCAGGCCTTTGGCTTGCCCCTTGGAGGGCAGGATGAGCACGTAAGTCCAAGTCTGAAGCCAGGGTGGGGACACGGAATAAGTGCCCAAATGACCGCGCCCATTTGGCCAGGGCAAACCCCCCTTTTGGAGCCGAAAAAGGGGGTTTGTGGGACCCAAGCTTTGGATCCCAAAGTGTGCCTGCAGCACTCCTCAACCATTTGGTTCAGGTTGGACGCCGACGATGAGTGTGACGACAACCCCCCACGATACCAGCTTGATGGTGATGGGGATTCAAGCGTCTATGATTTGGACTGGACTCGTCTGCCACTCTCGCCACTCGGAAGAGATGGGCCTGCACAGGTGCCAGGTCTACTGCCGTGTTGTCCGGGCAGGTTTAGTCTAGATGGTTTTGGTGGGTTGTGCGTGTTTGGGCCGCGTGAGGTCCAGCCAACAAACCGCCAGGACCTAGCCACCAGGCCAGGAGGAGAGCGCGAAACCACAGTGCCCAGCAGTGTTGCAGTTCCAGCAACCTCCCCCAGGGAGGGCGGGACCCGCAACGCACGCCAACGTCTGACGGCAAACCTCCTTTTTCAGCTGCTGTTATTGTGTCTGTTGTTGCTTGGCGTGCGTGGCGCAGTGTTTGCACCGTGCCCTGGTGTCCGGAACCCGCCCGCAGCAGCTTCAGGCACTCCAGTACCGTACTGGGTCGAGGAGGAGCCGTGCGTTAGGTTGTGGGGTTTGAGCGGTGTCGTGCCGGAGCCTCCTGTCCAGGAGGAGTCCCAACAACCCCTTGCAGAACGTGTGCTGCTCACGACTGTGCGATTAGCTGCAGCAGCAGATGGCCTTGTGACAGCAGTTTGTTGGGGCACGCCAGGGGTTTACCTGTTCCGCAAACATGATCATCCTGTTTGTGCGGTATTCATGCTGTTTGTCTTTTTGCAAGTCATAGGCGCCGCTAGCCAGCAGGATGAAGAGCCGGAAGACCTGTCGCTCCCAGTTCACTTAGATGCCGACCTGATGCTTGCAGTCTGCATTTTCGGTGTTGCGTTTTGTGCCATTGTTTTGTGGGAGTTTCTGAAGTGGAGTTTTGCCCTCTTGTCCCGCAGGACCTTTGGCACGAGCAGCGTGCTGCTAAGCCCGCGCAAGGCACGCAAGTTGCAACGTCTTAGGAACCGCACAGAGCAAGCAATCCGGGCAGAAATCTCTGAGAGGGAAGCAGCCGCCAGTTCCTCACAGCGTTTTGTGACCGCTTCCGGGAGGAATGCGCCAGCTTCCACCACGCAGGCCGATGAAGCACCAACTCGTTTCTTTGCAACGCCAGAAGGCAACAAGCTTCATCGCACTAAGGCCTGTTCCACACTTGCCCATTCACACAGGTTCATCGAGTTTGAGGTCTGCCAGCAGTGCCACAGGAGCCAGGCAGACTGCACGAAGCATAGCACACGTTAGGACATCCACCGCCCTGACGGGTAGGTTGTGCGTCCCATTGCACAGTCCTGCCAGCAGTGCTTTTCTTTTGCAAAGAGGTGCCGTGAGAGCCCTCGCACTCTGAGGCCAGCCGGCCAGCTACAGCCTTTCCTTCGGTAGGAGCTTGTACCTCCTCCCGGAAGGGACGGACATGTACAGGTTTTGTTTGTCGCAATACCCTAGCGGTGTTGCGAAGGAGGAGTGTTGAAGCCTACTCCTGTACATGTCATCCTGTAGCAGTTGTACCATGCATTTTTCCTTTGTTGCTTATAGGCCCGAACAGTAGCCTTGAGCATGTTTAAGACAAGCATGTACAGATTCACATTAGACATGGTAGGTGCCAAACCCTACATAGCTGCTCTTGTTTCTTCGTTTGTGCGTGTAAAATCTTCGCGTTTGTGAGTGCTTTGCCATGGCTTTGAGGGACGATTCTGGGGAATTGCGCAGTCCACTGGTTTCTTCCTCACAGCCTGCTGGTACTCACCAGCACTAAGGGTTTAGGGTTTAGGGTTTTGGGGTTTTGGGGTTTTGGGGTTTAGGGGTTTAGGGGAAGCCCTTAAGCCCTGAAAACCCTTAAACCTATACCAGGGATTTTGAACAGGAGAACCATGGTTCAACTGACTAGAACCTACCCCTAAACCCTAATACCACGCATGGCTACAAGCTGATCCGCGAGACTGCGCCGCTGCTCTCGCACGAACTCTTGAAGGAGCTGACGCCACCGCGGCTCAGTGATCGGCTAACACAGCTGCACCAGTCCATTGTCACCACACTGACGCAGCATTCGATCGAGGCTGAAGCCGTGACCCACCGGCTGCTGACCATCACTGGCTCCGGACGTGAGCAGTGGTCCCAGGACCACATCAACGCCCTCACGGTTGAGCCCTTTCGCTTCAAGCCGCTGACTTTGCAAGATGAAAGCCCGTGCCTAGAACTGGCACAGAGAGTTTGGGACGGAGGGTTTAGGGTTTAGGCATCTGGGAAGGACGGGCTGTATTTCAATCATCTACGCTCACCAATACTTAAAGGGCAACGCGAGATACTGTCACCCATGAGCACAACATAAACCCGGGGTCTTTTCAAGGCACGTCCACTCCGCAAGTCTGCACACTTGGCACGGCCCTTACACTTCTTGTTTCCACAAGGGTAGCACATGACACTCACCCACTTGTACTTGTACTGTTGTACTCTCATGTTCTTCTTTCGCAGAGGGCTGCCCTTTTGGTTTTGGGATGCCGAAGGCATACACCAACTCCCTAACACAGGGACGCAACTCCCCGCTGCTCGCGCTGCGGGGAAGGATGAACTGAGAGGTCCGCGATAATAAACCCCAAACCCTAAACCCTAAACCCTAAACCCTACACCCTACACCCTAAACCCTAAACCCTAAACCCTAAACCCTAAACCCTAAACCCTAAACCCTAAACCCTAAACCCTAAACCAAACAGTCGGACTCCGAGGATCAATGCGGACCTCATGGGCCTCCAAGAGGCCTCCTGCTCCGGTTGCAGCTGACCTTGGAGTTGAGGGTTTGGGGTTTAGGGTTTAGGGTTTAGGGTTTAGGGTTTAGGGTATAGGGGCTGCAACACGCAGAGCGGTTTATGGTCCAGTGGGTTTCGCTGGGATTGCAGTCGACGCTTTAAGATGTAAAATGCTTGATTGTAAGCCACAGCAACTGCATATCTTGCAATGAAAGGTTCCTACCAGGCACATTGCCTTTTAAGTACAGATCCTTGCTGAAGAATCAGTTACTCGCCTGCTTGCACGCTGGAAGGTGGACATAGGTCAACGCCTTGCGCTGGAGCCACCGTTGCAGGACCATCATAGCTCTTTGGGGATAAGGGAGGGGGGGGGGGGGGGGGGTTATGGAGTCATGGGTTTAGGCGGTTTAGGGTTTAGGGTGGGTTATCCGGGATTCTCAGGGGCGCAGGTCTGAAGCTCAACTAGAGGGTTTCCTCCTGGTTGAGCCGATACCGAAGGGGCCAACTTCAGCACACGAAGGCTTCAGCCATCTCAACCCCTCCCAAACCCCCCCAAAAAACACAAAATAATAAAGAATAATAATAGTAATAAATATATATATATATATATATATATGGTCACCCCCCCCCCCTCGACAGACCCCGGAATTGTATTTCCGATCTGTCCAGGAAGCGGGGGGGGGGGGGGGGGGGAAGAGCACCACTCCAAAATTCCTCGAGTTTTCAAAAATCCAAAAATCCAAAAAAACCCAACCCAAGTTTCGGATTTTTGGAAACTCGAGGAATTTGCTCAAAATCCAAAAAAACCCAAAATTCCTCGAGTTTCCAAAATTCCAAAAATCCCCCCAACCCAAGTTTCGGATTTTTGGAAACTCGAGGAATTTGCTCAAAATCCAAAAAAACCCAAAATTCCTCGAGTTTCCAAAATTCCAAAAATCCAAAAATCCCAACCCCAGTTTCGGATTTTTGGAAACTCGAGGAATTTGCTCAAAATCCAAAAAAACCCAAAATTCCTCGAGTTTCCAAAAATCCAAAAATCCAAAAATCCCAACCCCAGTTTCGGATTTTTGGAAACTCGAGGAATTTGCTCAAAATCCAAAAAAACCCAAAATTCCTCGAGTTTCCAAAAATCCGAAACTGGGGTTGGGATTTTTGGATTTTTGGATTTTTGGAAACTCGAGGAATTTTGGGTTTTTTTGGATTTTGAGCAAATTCCTCGAGTTTCCAAAAATCCGAAACTGGGGTTGGGATTTTTGGATTTTTGGATTTTTGGAAACTCGAGGAATTTTGGGTTTTTTTGGATTTTGAGCAAATTCCTCGAGTTTCCAAAAATCCGAAACTGGGGTTGGGATTTTTGGATTTTTGGATTTTTGGAAACTCGAGGAATTTTGGGTTTTTTTGGATTTTGAGCAAATTCCTCGAGTTTCCAAAAATCCGAAACTTGGGTTGGGATTTTTGGATTTTTGGATTTTTGGAAACTCAGGTTTTGGTGAGATTCTTTTAGGGGTTCTACACTCATGAGAAATATGAAATATATTAAAAACACAGAGAGCTATGCTAGCAACAGCTACTGAAGTTGCTTACGGAAGTGCGAGGAAAAGTGCTTGATGCTGCGCTTCTGCCCACGTTAATGAGAACCCTATGATAGTTGATAGGAATCCTAATAAATTGAAGAGGACCCCTACTACAATTAATAGGAACCAATGGGACTCCTATAACGAATGTGAACCCTTAACTAATAGGAATCCTATTAAAAATGATATGAGCCTAAACCAATAGGAATCCCTTTCAAATGAATCAGATCCCTATTAAAATTAATACGAATCCACATATCATGAGTAAGAGCTCTGAAATTGATATGAGTCTTATTGCAGTAGTAGGAGCTTTATCAAAATAATTAGGAACCATATGAAACTTCACTGGAATCCTATGAAAATAAGTAGGAATCTTTCGGGCTCCTACGAAATTTATCGGGGAAGCTAGTAGAAAGCCCATTAAATTGAAGAGGAACCCTTAACAAATCAAAAGAACGCAGTGAAGATTAATAGGAATTAATAGGACTCCTATGAAAAATAAGATTCGTTTAACAAGAATTAGTAGGAATCCTACTAAATGAATATGAGCCTAAACCAATAGGAATTCCTTTCAAACGAATGAGACCTCTATCCGGTACGGATTCTTAGTTCCTGGGTTACCTCTTATTGAAATCCTTTTTGAAATATATTGAATTTCAATAAGGGCGGTACTAGGAACTAAGAATCCTGTGTTTCTATTTTAAGACCCTTATTGAAATATTGAATTTGAATAAGGGCTGTACTAGGAACTAAGAACTCAGACCAAGAGTCCCTGGCAGTCTTAGTTCTTAGTTCTTGGTTCCGCCCTTATTGAAATTCAATATTTCAATAAGGGTTTCCATAATGACCACCCGTATTGAAGTTCAATACTTCAAGAAGGGTTTCAATAATGCCAACCCTTATTGAAATTCAATATTTCAATAAGGGTTTCAAAAATGACCACCCTTGTTGATTCAATATTTCAATAAGGGTTTCAAAAATGCTAACCCTTCTGGACATTCAATATTTCAATAAGGGTTTTAAAATAGAAACACATAGGTTTAACAGACAACGAAAGAAAAACATACAACAACAGAGCAAAACATCAAAGGCATTAAACAAAGCAAAAAAGTATAGATCTTTGGGGAGGGGGGGTACCATATATCTCTATTGTTTGTTAACGTGTCTGGCTACTGTGTGCAGCTATGCTGTCCGTCGCGCCCTCAGCCCTTTTTTTGCTTCCGGGGGTCTGTCGAGGGGGGGGGGGTGAGCATATATATATATACATACATATAAAGGCCCCGTATTCTACCCAACGTACTTGGGCACGGTGGGCACGAGCAGCACCCTGGAAGGACTGCGGCTGGGATGCTGCTTTCGCGGGCAGGCCGCGAGGGCGCATGGCAGCAACGTAGCAAAGAACATCTGAGTTTCATCGACGTAATTCTTCAAGCGTAGTCGAAGGCAGATGAAAGACAATTTAGGTTTAGGGCTGAGAGTTTGGATCTTTGGGAGGGGGCTGCTTATCAGAGACACGAGCTTCTCACACAGCGCGGCGTCATCACAGCCCACGGCCGACTCCCACTCCAGGGCTTCGCCGGTGAGTCCACAATGCATCCTTGAACTAACCCCCTAAGCCCTATACCTTAAACCTCAAACCTTCAGTCCTACAGCCTAAGCCCCTATAAACCTTAAACCCCCCCCAAAACCCTAAACCCCAATCCCCCAACACCCCTAAACCCTAAACCCTAGACCCTAGACCCTAAACCCTAAACCCTAAACCAGCAGCATTGGGGGGGGGGGGGGACCAAGGGGGGAACCAGGGGGAAACAGGGGGGGGACCAGGGGGGACCAGAGGAAAACCAGGGGGGAACCAGCAAAAAAGAGGCCAAACTGCGCCACTGCCCTACTCTGGCGCCGTGAGCGCTTTGAGGTCGAGGCGGGGGATCGATGGGGGATGGGGGCGCTTGTGGGGCTTAAGAATTTTAGGGGTTTAAGGGGTTGAAGGGTTTAAGAATTTTAGGGGTTTCAGGGTTTGAGGGTTTAAGGGTTAAGGGCTTAGGGGCTTTCAGGGTTCCGGGCTTGTCTTCGCGAAAGCCATAGCGCCAGGTAGTAAAACCTAAACCCTGAACCCCAGGTAGTACGCCCTTAGCCTGAAGCCGTGAACCCTCAAGCCCTAAAGCCTAAGAAGTTATGAACCCTGAAGGCCTAACCCCTTAAACCCTGAAGCCCTCAGCCCTAAACCCTGAACCAAAACCTTCAACCCTGAACCCTTAATCGGAACGACCCTGAACCCTGAACCTTTCACCGAAACCCTAGAAGCCTGAACCCGAAACCCTTAACCTTCAACCCCAAACCCCAAACCCCAAACCCTAAAACCCAAACCCCAAACCCTACACCCTAAACCCTAAACCCTAAACCCTAAACCCAAACCCCAAACCCCAAACCCCAAACCCCAAACCCTAAACCCTCAACCCTCAACCCTCAACCCTCAACCCTCAACCCTCAACCCAACCTCTTTAACCCTAACCCCTAGAACCCCTAAGCACCTTGGCAGGAGCCGCCCAAGGAGTGGCCGCTGAGCGGCGCTGTTGAGCGGCTCCCAGGCCTGAACGAAGAGGAGGCCTGGGTTTAGGGCTTTACAGGGTTTATAGGGTTTATAGGGTTTATAGGGTTTATAGGGTTTGTAGGGTTTGTAGGGTTTATAGGGTTTATAGGGTTTATAGGGTGTGTAGGGTTTATAGGGTTTATAGGGTTTATAGGGTTTATAGGGTTTATAGGGTTTATAGGGTTTATAGGTTTTATAGGGTTTATAGGGTTTATAGGGTTTAGGGTTTCGGGTTTTGGGGGTTTTGGGGGTTTTGGGGGTTTTGGGGGTTTAGGGGGTTTAGGGGGTTTAGGGGGTTTAGTGTTCAGGGGCTTGTCTCTCTAGGTGGGACCGCGGGATGCTTTAATTATGTGTTTCCCATTGTTGGACGTAAGAGGGCTGTAGCATTTAGGGGTTAGGGTTTTCAGGGTGGGCGACCCAGTATACCTAGTAGAAGAGCTGGGAAGAACAGCTTTGGTGCTGCAAAGGGGCCTCGAGAACAGTTGAGCTCAGGGGTTTGGGGGTTCAGGTTGAAGAGACTTAGAAACCGCATATTGCAAGAGTCCGTCGTCCAGTCTGTGAACAACTACTTGCAGGTTCGTGTGTAGGTCTTAGGGGCGCAGGGCTAGGTTGAAGGACCAAGTAGAGTTCTCCCCAAAAATGGTCATAGCCAGCTTATCATCGTAGTTACCTACCATCCCACTACTTGACCCACTTTGGGCTTAGGGTTTAGCAGCGTCAAGTGCGCATCCGGCAGGGGGCCCCTTCTGAACCCCGAACCGTAGACATCAAAACCCGAAGCTTTTAAACCCATAAGCCTTCAACCCTAAACCCTGAACGCCAAACCCCATCCCCAAAGCCGCAGAAATCCCCTGTGATGAAGCCCTAAGCAACCGAAGGCTGCGGCCATCCGTGCACACCCGGCAACTGCCGCGGTCCTGGCCCAGGTGGGATTGGTAGGGGAACCAGAAGTTACAGGGAGGGTTCAGGGTTTAGGGTGTAGGGTTCAGGGAGGGTTTGGGGTTTGTAGGGAGGGGGGGGGGGGGGTTCAAGCGGGGTATGTAACCCGAGGTTCCCAGTACTTCCCACTACTCCCCAAGGCTCCCTAATGTTCCCTTGGTACCTACACCCCATGAACCCCGTCCCTTACGAACCCTATAAATAAGGCTGGACTCGATATGGGGGCCGATGTGACATCCTACTTAACAAGCCCAAAACCTTCAAGTACTGGGTTTGTATGGGCTGTCCACTGCCCTACGAGTCTGTGCCCCAGGTACAAAATGCAGCACAAAGCGTTCTGCTGCGAGATCTGCAGACAGGGAGGCCCAGTTATTGCAGGGGGCTGGGAGGCAGAACTACCAGCTCTGGCTTGCTTTAAAGGCTGGTAGACGTAGGCTGGCTATAGTTTAAACCTGGCTATAGTGTAGTTGCGCTACTGCAACTACCTCCTGCTCGCTCTCTCTCTCTCTCTCTCTCTCTCTCTCTCTCTATATATATATACATATATTACATATATATATACATAGATATATATATATATATAGCAACATATGTAGATATGTGTGTGTGTGTCTATGTAGTTATAGATATAGATATGGATTAGGTATATCTGCAGGACACTGGGGGCTTGTTGTATTGGGGGGAGGCGATAAATATGAACGGGGAGCGGATTCGGGCTTCGCGTGTGAACGTGCTTCAGGCACTTTCCAAACTTCCAAGACCCTAAGCCCTTCAATCCTACTCCCCTAAACCCTGAGCACTCAACCCCAAATCCTCCAAACCCTCAAACCCTGACACCCGAATCCCCTGAGCCCTCAAAACTTAAACCCTAATCCCCTAAAAACTGACCCCTCAGACCCTACTATAGGGCTCGGAATAATAGTGCCAATATTATTCCCTTTTGGCTCTATACTATAATAACCCACAAAACCTTTTTCTAAGTATTAAGGCCCCTATAGTAGTCCCCTAAACATCCCAAGCCTGAACCATGGCCAGGCGCCTCCTTGTTGCGAACACACACCTCTACTTCCATGCCAACGCCAACCACATTCGCTTACTTCAGCTGCGCCCCCCCGGGTCTTCGAAAATGTGCCCTAAACCCGAAACCTAGGGATAGGGGTCGGAATAATTACTAATAGTATTCCCTTAGGGTCCCTGTAGAATTGTACTATAAGAATGCCGCCCAAACCACTATTCTAATTGTTAAGGCCCCTATACTATAGGTCAGGGCATGATCCGGGGCTTCCGGTTGGCGTTTTGGAGCTGGAGGGAATCGAGTGGCCGCACGCATGGACCTCATCCTAAATCCCTGGCCTGGGTCCTCTGCACCCTAAACCCTAAACCCTAAACCCTAAGCCCAAAGCCCAAACCCCCAAACCCTTAAGCCAGGTACATGCTTCTCCGCGTGCTTGCCAAAGAAGCAGCCCGCATCGCACACAGCGCGCCGGTGGCGGTTCTTCTCTTCGGGGTGCCTGAGCAAAGAAAGAGGGTTGGTTTGCAAATGTCAGGTCCTCTTGAAGGTTCATGAGGGAGTTGTATGCGGGGTTCGAAGCAAGACTGCAACCGGTTCGAAGCAAGATTGGTACCAGTTTCTTACCCTCCTTGTATATCTCCAGCTACTGCTCATGCACCATCAAGGAAAGTTTGAGACTGCTGCTGGTCGCGGGGATCGGAAACTGAGGACTTGAATGCCCGGAAGGGTGCCTTTGGCCCCAGCGACCGGGGCTGCTGCGGCTTGGAAGCACCAAATATCAGTAGCAACGTATACAGCAAAAACATCTTAGATATGACAGCTTAGATGGTTCAGAAGGGTAATACTCAATATAACAACATTGGTATTCGTATTGACACTAGGGTCTTTAGCTTGGGGTACCGCAAATGTGCTTGCCGAAGCTCGTCCCTTCTGCAGGGCATGGCATGGCCTGGGGGCTTTCGTGGGCCTCCATTCCCAGCTGTTGGGAGTGCAGGTTCCGTTTACAAGCCTTATGAGAAGCCCCTGTACACCAACAAGAGGCACCCTTGTTCATTCTAGGTACTCTTTGGTCTAGTGTTTGAGATGTTTCATTTTGCATTTCTGCTGTTACGAGAGGAGCTTGCTTAGGAATCATTTCCGGGGGTTTTGGGTTCAGGTTTAGGGCGCGTTTATCGGCCCACCTCGTTAAGTCTGTCGATTCTAAGGGCTTGAGGGCTTTCTTTCCCCAGGCTGACTTCCTTGCTAGCTGCTGGAGCCCGTGTCTCCCCTCTGAAGGCCCACAAGCAGCATATCGCCTGATACGGGACGGCGAAATCCGCCGGGAGGACCGGTTTAGATTTGTGTGTTTTTTGTGGGACGGATGAAGGCTGAGGGGTCAAGGTTTAGGCAGGGTCTGAGATTTTAATTGGAAAAGAAATTTCAAGAGGCTTAGTCCTGACACACTACACTCCCGAAGCACTACAGCCCTACACACCCCTAGACTGCGAACCTAAACCCTAAACTCTAAACCCTAAACCGTAAGACCCTAAACCCTACACCCCGAGCCCTTTATGAAATCCCATTGCATGAAGCCCGGCGAAGCTTTCAGGACCCTGACTGGCGCTTCTCCCTCTGGCAACCACAGCCCGAAGGCAATGAGGCCGGCCCGTGACGTTTCGGTTTTAGGGTTTAGGGTTTAGGGTTTAGGGTTTCTCAGATTTAAGGCTTTGGATTTCCCGTGGCTTTAGGTGTCTCCATGGAGAGGGGATCTGGGCGCTCTCCAAGTCTGCTTGTTCGAGAAAACATATCAACTCCCTGGACAGCACCAGCACTGGGAGGTTCAGGGTCCTTATGTTCAGCCCCAATTAAAACTGCAATTGCAAGCCCCCTTACGTCCCCTTAGTAGGTTATTAGAAGACTGACAATTGGGTTATAACCCTAAACCCTAAACCCTAAACCCTAAACCCTAAACCCTAATGTGGGGTTTAAACCCTAATGTGGGGTTCTACGTGCCCATGAGCCTCCAAGTAGGTTGCCAGCTCTTGGCCAAGTCGAAGTCTTGAGAAAATAGTAGGTTATTAGAAGTGGGGTTATAACCCTAAACCCTAAACCCTAAACCCTAAGATGGGATTCGGAATGCAGCGCCTCTTCTCTCCTTAGCGGTTTTCGGGGTTTAGGCGAATTTGGGCTTATTAGGGTTCAGGGCTCAGGGTTCAGGGTTTAGGCTTTAGGGTTTAGGGTTCGGGGTCTCAGCACGGAAGCCCAAAGCTGCCTTTTCTTGGGAATCTTTGGGAGAAGGCAAACCTTCAAGCGCCCCATATCGGGAGCTGTTTCGTGTTTTCGGGGGGGAGGCGGGGGTTTGCCCTGAACCCTACGCTCTAAGCCTAAATCCCAAACCTTAAACCATAAACCACGACTGAAAAAGTGGCCCTAAACCCTCAAGTTACCTAAAGCCTTAAACCCTCAGAAGAGGCCGGCCAAAGCGCGGCGCCACCGCACAAAGCAGAGGGTGGCCGCTGCATCTGCTGCCAGGATCGATAGGTTTAGGGAGAAGTTGCAGGAATTTCTTGAGTCTTGTGGCCCTTAAACCTCTGCACGAACCCAGGGATGGCTCTTTCCATTTCGAGGCTTAAGGACTTCTAACTGTGGGGGGGGGGGGGATTTTGTTAAGTGGTTGTATAACCTTATTCTTCTTTTGTTTTGACTGAAAGCTAGTGTACCCATGAACCTCCTCCTCTAAACCCGAACCCCAAGCTGAAACCCTTACTTAAACCCTAAGCCCCGAACCCTAAACCTAAGCCCCAAACCCCACACCCTAAACCCTAAACCCAAAAAAAAACCCTAATCAACCCAAAAAAACCGAACAAACCCAAATGAACCCTAATCAACCCAAATAAACCCAAAGAGACCCAAATAAGCCCCTAAAAAGCCCCACGCAAGCGAAGGACTTCGGGGTTTTCCCGGGTCTCGGCACTTGCCCCCTCTGTGACGGAGAAGGCTTCGGCGGAGAAGCTTGGCCAGCAACGGAGACGTTCCGGTGGGTGCTTTTCGGGGTTTAGGGCTTGGGGTTTAGGGTTTAGGGTTTAGGGTTTAGGGTTTTTCGGGACTAGGGTTTAGGGTGTTGGGTTCAGGGCGGTGCGTGTAGGGTTTTGGGATTAGGGCCGAGAGTCTTGGGCCTTGGGATTTAGGGTTTGGAGTCTTGGGTTTTGGGATTTAGGATTTTTGGGGCTGTTGGTGTTTATGGCTGGCTTTGGGGGTCCTGGGTTTTGGCGGTTTAGGGTATCAGGCGGTTTCAGGCTTGAGGTTTTTGGACGTCTTTCAATCTTTAAGCCCTCCACCCCAAACTGGAAACCCCGAAAGCCCTGAACCCTAAAAATCTGCCGATCTGAACCCCTTACCCCTAAACTACCTTAAAAACCCAAAAGGCTACCCTAAAGCCCCAACTAAACTCCGACACCCAGAACGAGCTGCAAAACCTCTAGAACCCTAACCTCAAACAACCAAGCCTTCAACCACCAACACCCGGAAGTTGCTTTTCCCCGAAGCCCCCCCTAAATATGCCAAAACCGCAAAAACCCCAAAAGCAAACCCAAAACCCCAAAACCCTAAACCCCAAACCCTAAACCCTAACGCAGAAACCATCGTTTGCTTCCCTAAACCGGAAACCGCAAACCCTAAGCCCAAACCGTAAACCCCCGAACACTTCGCGGGACCCCCCTAAATGGGATCCCCCTAAACCCTAAACCCTCAACCCCTAAACCCCTAAACCCTAAACCCTAAACCCCTGAACCTCTAAACCCCTAAACCCCAAACCCTAAACCCTAAACCCTAAACCTAAACCCTAAACCCCAACTTTCGAAAAGGAGCCCCTGCTTTCTTTGGACCTCCGCCGTCCCTTGGACCTCGAGGATGCCAACGAGCACCTGCAGGCGATTCAGGATATCAGGGTTTCGGGTTTAGGGTTTCGGGTCTAGGGTTTAGGGTTAGAAGGGTGGGAGGGGGGGGGGAGATATTAGGGTGCTAGGGAATTAGGGTTGAGGGTGGGCGGAGGCGCTTGAGGGGCTTTAGGGGTTTAGGGTTGTCTGTTTTTGAAGGGGGGATGGGGGGATGGTAGGGTCCAGGGTTAGGGTTTAGGGATTACTTAGGGTTTAGAGTTTAGGGTTTAGGGTTCAGGGACTACTTAAAGTTGCGCGCCCAGCCTGTCTGGTTGAGGGCTGCAGGGTTTGGGATGAGGGTTGAGGGGTTTAGGGGTGTCAGGGTCCTAAGCCCCTTCAGGGTTTAGGGTTGGGGGGTTTAGGGTTTGGGGTTTAGGTTTAGGGTTTTAGGGCTTAGGGCTTAGGGCTTAGGGCTTAGGGCTTAGGGTTTAGGGGCCTAAACCCCCAAGGGCCGGCCTGAAAGTCACGCTGCATCTCGTGCAAGGTCACCAACTTCACTCGAGACTTTCAGGAGTGTCTGGCCCCTTGGCGAGCATCTGAGAAGCACGTGTTCCACTTCAAGGCAAGTTTGATCACGAAATCACGATCGCAGGAATTGTAGAACAAGTCCGAACCCCCCCAAACCCCAGAACCCCTTCAAAAAGTTCCCTGAAACCCTTAAACCCTTAGCACCCCTTGCAGTCGTTCTCAGGATTACATCCTCATCGACAGACGTCATCTCCGTGTGGCCCGAAGCTTCCCCGCGCCGCCACTGGAGGCCGTCACCACAAGGGAAACCCTAAACCCTAACCCCTAAGAATCAGGGCGTCTACACAAACCCAATTTTCCCCCCGCAATTGTTGTAACTATGTAGTAGAAGCAACCATAAAGGCGCCCCATGTTGTGATTCTATATGTAGGATCTGTACACACAGCCAACTTGCGCCAGTACCTCACAATGCTTCCTTTTATTTAGGGTACTTATCACAACCCTGCTTCCAACTAAACCCATGAACCTTCAAAGCGCCCTAAGCCCTCAAGGTTTGTGAACCTCAACTTAGGGATGCCAATGCAGAACACCCCCTGAGCCCTGGGAGGAGGGAGGGATGAAGAAGAGAGGCAGCTTCTAAGCCTCCAAAGTCCTTTTAGGGTTTGGGGCTTAGGATTTAGGGCTTAGGGTTTAGGATTTAGGGTTTAGGTGTTTGGGTTTACGTAACATTTAGGGTTTAGGGTTTAGGGTTTAGGATTTAAGGTTTAGGGCTTAGGGTTTACGCAACAGCCTGCGAAGAAGAGGCGCTGCGGCGGCACACGGCGCTCCCGTCACCCGAGCCGCTCGCCTCGGGGGGGGTTTGGGGGTTTAGGGTTTAGGGGTTTAGGGGTTTCGGGTTTAGGGTTTAGGGTTTAGGGTTTAGGCTGCCTGCCGCAGTCTACCCCACGCCCTGAGCCCTTTTGTAGGGGGGCCAAAGGGGATTCGACTTTGGAGAACTCCCCCCCTGTAGTTCGGGGCGCCTCCAGAGGTGGGGTTAAGGGTTTCGAGTTTCGTGCCTCGGGTTTAGGATGTTTCCGAAAACAGGCTTTTGGGCTTAGGGTATGCAGTTTGCCAGTGAATGCTCTCTCCCTAAACCCTAAAAGCCCTCAACACGAGGTTTCCCTCGGATCACATCCCGGTCTTCACGGAGATCGAATTTCACGCCTGAGAGCTCGCGAGCGTCGCGTGCCTTTGAATCTCTCTCCGTGGTGCTTCCCGTGGTGCGCGAGTGGTGGGGGGCGTTTAGGGTTAGGGGTTTAGGGTTTAAGGTTTTGGGGGTCCAGGTTGACGGCGAACCTAAACGCTGGGTCCTAGGCAGCGTCTCCAATTGCAGTTTAGGGGCCAGAGTTGAACTTGGATGGTTTTATTGCTTAAGCTTCTCAAGGCCCACCCAGTTACTCATAAGGAATGAGCAGCCCTTGAATACGCTGAAGTGGCTGTATTGATGCAGGTGGGCTAAGGTAGGCTTAGGGTTTAGAACATGTCTAGGGCTTATTGTTTCTGTGCAGCCCTTGCACTGCCCTAGTGCCCATACCTTCAAAGGCCTTACGTCAAAGGTACCCTGCCACAGGTTTAGGGTTTAGGGTTTAGGGTTTAGGGTTTAGGGTTTAGGGTTTAGGGTTTAGGGTTTAGGGTTTAGGGTTGGGCTCCCTCGGTTTAGGCTTGAGGGTTTAGGGACAAGGCTGCCGGGTCGCCACCCTCCTGGTGACGAGCGAGGCCTTCGTTTGAGAGAAAAGAGCAGATGCCACGTTGTTCCGCGGATATGAGCGCGACGGTTCCCGGAGCCCTACATAAATCCCTGGCCCGCCACCCAAGCAAGGCTCACCCAAACAACAACAAGACGGAACTCGACCGAAAGCCTCAACGAACTCCCCAGCTGCCACTGTGAGTGGGAAGGACTACACGGAGCCGCAACTGCGGGATTGGCTTCGAGGCCGGTTGAAAGTCTCAAAAAGCACGGGACTTGGGCGGGACTCTAAACCCTAAACCCTGGCCGTAAACCCTGCTTTTTAGCTTGAGTAGGTAACCTTTAACCTTTTTGGTATATAAAACCCTACCCGAATTGAAAGGTTAACCTGTTTCGGGCCAAGGTACTCAGCAACTCGGCCTGAACCCTAATTCCCTGGACCCTTATGACCCCCACACCCTGAAGGGGTTCAGGGCTGAGGGTTTCGGACATAAGCACGGGATGCAAGGGGTCGTTGAGAGCTTGGAAGTATTGGGTCAGGGGCTGAGGGTTCAAGGCTTAGGGGTTTTGGAGTTTTAGGAGTTGACCTTGGAGGGTTTGCCGGCTTGAGGTTTGCACGAACATCCTCAGGTGCCCTTACAGTCTCCCACCCGAAAGAAAGTCTCTTCAGCCCTAAGGCCTTAAGTTGCTTAGGGGTGCTCAAGGCCCTTAAGGGCATTCCGGCAAATCCCAAACCCTAAGCCCTAAATAACTCCCTAGCCGCGAGGTGTTCGCCCGTGCCCTGAAGCCTAAACCGGGGGCCACTCGCAGGCTTTGGCCGGCCAGAAGAGATCCACTTTTTCAAGGCAGGTCCAGGGAGGGTTTAGGGTTTCGGGGTACCTGCATGAGGGTCCAAGCGTTTAGGGTTTAGGGTTTGAAGACACAGTTGAGGGGCTCGGGCTGCGGGCGAGTGCTGTTCTGGGTATGGACTGACATTCAGCGCGCTTCAGTGCGGAATCGGTTCCTAGTATGGTTGGGGCTGCGGGACTAAAGGTACCTACTAGTGGCATTGGGTTACAGTACATGTGGGGATTCTGCAAGGAATGACACAGGAATCGCCCTTCAGTCGGGAGATCTTTTCGAAAGCTCCTACTGCGGATTTCCAGACACACCTTCCGTAAACCCTAAACCCTAAATTAAACCCACAAACCCCAAGCAGGCTACCGATTGCATGTTGCAAGACTTTCTGCGAGGACCCCCGAACGCGAAAGCTCAACGCGAAGGCGACGGTGTTGGGCTTTAGGGTTTAGGGGGTTCAGGGGGTACCCTTTTCCCTTTCTTGGTACAAGGTTCCCTTATAAAGTCACCAACCCAAAAAAGAGCGCCCTTAGTAGAATATGGATACTGGCCCAGCAAGGAAGTCTAAAGGGGTTTAGGCTTTTCCGGGGGGGTAGGGGGGGGGTATAGGGCCCTAGTTCTTTGGGGCTTTAGAGGGCTTGAGGAGTTTAGGGCCTATTAGGGGCTTCAGGGGGGCTTTAAGGGTTTGGGGTGTTTCGAGTTCTTCCTTTGCTTTCGTGGTGCGCGTGTTGCTCGAGGTTGCTTGCCTCCCTCGGTCGAATGAGACGGCCGGGGGTTTGACTCTTCGCCGTTCTTGGGGCAAAAACCTTGATGTTGAGCTAGAGATAGGGTTTAGGGTTAGAGTATACAGTGGTTTAGGGCTTAGGGTTTAAGGGTTTAACGGTTATGGCCCGCACTCCCAACTACCACGGATGCTGTTCCATCGTAGTGCATGCCTAGAAGTTTTTTTGCAAGCATGTGTTAAATAGCAGAGAATACCTTTAGGGTTAGGGTTTAGTGATTATTGATCGAAACCGTGCTTGCCGATGACCAGGTCGTAGATGGGCATCGCCCATTTTAGACCCTCAACCTCAGAACCCTCAATCCCGGAACCCTAAGCCCCACACCCCATAAACCCCAAACCCTAAACGCATCGAAGCTTCCCCTAAAAGACCCCCTGACCGGGATCCCCCTAAACCCTAGGCCCTTAACTTTGCCAGAGTGCGGGTGACATTTTTTGTTTTTTTAGGGTACTTCAACTCAACAAGGAATAGCAATTGAGATTCTTAATACTACCCCAACCATGAACTAGTAAACCCTAGACCCTGAACCCCCCATACAAGCCCAATGTGCAAGGGCTACGTGCGCTTCGCCCGGCACGAGGCGCGGTGACAGGGAGGAAGCGGTGTGAAACAGAGACTCAGAATTCACGGCTTAGGGCGGTTGAGGGTTTAGGGTTTGGGGTGTAGGGCAGGGCCCATGGCGAGATTGTTTGGACGTGGGTTTGACGAGTGCTTGTCTAGGTCGGGTACCCCTAAACCCCAAAGGCCTTAAACCCTCATTAACCCCGAAACCCTTAACGCTAACCCTATCAACCCTAAACCCCCTTACACTCCCTGAACTCCCCCAGCCCCCAATCCCCAACGACTTCGGATGTTCAGGAGGCAGCTGGGCTGCTCGCCGCTTTTCCGGCAGACGAGTCGGATGATGAGGAAGGCACTGGCTCTAGGGGTTTAGGGTTTAGGGTTTAGGGTTTAGGAGGTCTTCCTAGTGCTTCCGTAGCTCGTGGCACCGAAGTCTAAAGAATTACCTTATTCTCCCATGCCAACCCATATCAACGTATCACAAAATCCCCATTCCATACTACGCAACCCTATATGCTCTGTCTGGCTTCGCGTGCCGCAAGGGTTCTGTGAAGAGCTTCAGTGATCATGCCATATCAATGGCCTGGGTTGCGGCAACGTGAAGGTAAGCCAGGCACCCCAACACCCTGACGCCCCTGTTTAGGGTTTAGGGTTTCGGGTTTAGGGTTTCGGGTTTAGGGTTTAGGGTTTAGGGTTTAGGGTTTAGGGTTTGGGGTTTAGGGTTTAGGGTTTAGGACTCCCCTGTAAAACCCCAAGCCCCTGAACGCCAATCCTTAAACAGCCGAAGCCCAAACCCAGTGAGGTGCCCTTTCCTGATGAGGGATCCCTGCAAAACAAAGGCATCATCGAAGCAGGTCTATCTTGGTATGCTCAGATGGGAGGTCATATCTGGTTCTTCTTCGGGGCCTCTAGGACTATCGCACCCCAAAAAGACCCTATCCCTAAGGCCTTATACATCCCCAAACCCCCGAAAAACCCTGAAATCCCCCTAAACCCCTAAAACCCCCAAACCTCAAAGCTTCTGACCCCTAAGCCCACCCAAAACACCCCTCCGAAGGTCCTGGCGTGCAGGGAAGCTGGTCACTGTCAGAGAGGCAGGGCCTGGCAAAGGGGGTTTAGGGTTTAGGGTTTAGGGTTTAGGGTTTAGGGTTTAGGGTTTAGGGTTTAGGGTTTAGGGTTTGGTTCATTGAGATTCAGGTTTCGGGCTTCGGGCCTACTACTAGGGCCATAATAATGAGAATAGGGTGTTGGGGGGGGCGATGATAGTATAATTGTAAAGGGACCATAAGGGGATACGATTCGTAGTTAGTTTGACCCTTATTTTTCGTGGAAGTGAAGCAGCGCTGTCTTCGCTTGCCTATGAAAGTCCGCACGCCGCCCCCTCAGAAGTAGCATGTGGTGTTGCTACAGCCAGTTTGCACAGCCCTGGTCTTATCGTTCCGTTTCGTTGTGCTGCTCACGGTTTTGGCCGTCGGGTTAGTAATGATCGCATGTGCGATCGAGTTTTCCTCTAACTGCCTTTGCTTCTGCCATACCGGGGGGCGAATCCCTGCGTCAGCTTGCATGCAGGAGCCACAGGCCTCAGGGTTGACAGCAGCCCTGCAATGTCAAAGGTTCATGTAGCCCGTGCGATTTGAAAGGTTCATGATCTCTCAATATATGTGAAACACCTATGTGAGAGCGCCATTCTTCAACTGCCGCGCAGCCCGAACAATACTAAAATTATTTGTGGCGTTTGGGATGCCAGCAGACGTCCGCAAGACCGCCACAGACACAGAAACACCGAGGGGTCGTCGTTCACCCCCTGACCCAAATGGGCGCGCGGGTGCACACACATTGAGGGGGTTAGTGTGTCATTTTCCTTCACTCGGAACGTCTGAATCCCGCAGTGCAAGCATTGGTTGGGGAAATACGCATGATCCCTGCTCGCAGTTCGCCATTCCCCCCTCCACCACCACAGGGCAGTGTGAGAAAAATCCAAACCCTAAACCCTGGCAACACTTTAACGGAGTTGAAGCGTTGGCCGTCAGATGTGTGCTTGCCCTGTCGCCTGTCTTTGGCCTAGGGCCAGCTAGGGCCCGGAGTTGGAGGATTATAACCCTTCATACAGCCCAGACGCTAGGGAGGATCTAAAGCATATTGGGACTTTGGTGGCTTAACATTAACATGTGATCAGCCATGTGCCCGGAAGCGCGAAATGTTGAAAGGTATGATCGCCCCAGCACGCGTTCCAAACCCCAAACCCTAAACCCTAAACCTCAATACTCCTGCCGCGCATTCTTGACGTCAGTGCTCAAATGT